TGCAGCCAATCTAGCTACGTACTCTACTTATATAAGTTATAGGACTTAAAATTGAACTTGAAGATGAGTCTAAAAAAGTTTCAGCTTTGCCATTATGAATTATAAACTGCCATTCCTGGAGTTTTCACATGAGGGCTAAAACCATTGATGGTGGCACCGCTTAAAAGTATCTGCAAGACTGCAAAATGCTAATTCAGACCCCATTCCCATTTAAAAGTATGTAGGCTAACTTGGTAAATAAAAGTCTAAAACTATTACTCTATTAGTCCACAACAAATTGAGGTTATACTTGTACTGACAGTACCTTGAGCTTGAAAGGATGCAGGGTTCATATGCTGGACAAGAAGCAATGACAAACTTTATTCTAGAATCTGTATAAAGTTAATCGCGAGTCCCCAAGTTCGATCGAGCAAAATTCACTTCTCAGCCGTCATGTAAACAGCACAAATGATTACCACGGCGCATACGTCTAGCTCCAACTGTTCACAAAATGACCTATTTACAGTTGACTGCTCTCAAAAAGTGTTCAAAGGGTATTAAAATAGAGCCGGCTATTTGAAAACTACACGATTTTCTAAAGAGATAGTTTTCAGAAGATGGGTTCAATTCTTGCACTAAACACTTCAAAATTTCAGGGCATTCTTACGAACCACCCGGATGTTGGATCTCTTCATAACACACCGTAGGAATAGAAAACTTGTCTCCACTCTCCACTGGTCTCACAGGGAAAACCCATCTATTTCATCAGCTGATCTAAAGATGATCACCTAAATATTTTACTAATAAGAAAAATGTATACTAGACGTGACATATTTTTGCAACGCAACTGGTGAGAAATTCGGTGACATTAAATCAGATAGTTGCATGATAAGAAAGTTTAATGCGACGTTGGCTGAATCGAAAAAAACATACACCAGCTAAACAACACCGTAATGAATAAAGCCCTAATGAATATGTGGAATGCGTAAGGTCCTAATGAAAACGCAGAGCTGGGCAGCGCTACTTTGAATGAAGCGGCCGCTACCTCTACCGCTACTAAAAATTTAGCGGCCGCTACATGTAGCGCGCTACTGCCCAGTGCCCACCTCTGGTAACAACTAACATGTTGACACTAGTATTAGTAACAGGCTGAGGTTGACAACATTACACCGAAATCTTTCGTACAGTTTTATACTGTAATTTATATTATGTATGTATCATGCTGGTTTTTAAATAATATTTAATACTATTAAGTAAAATCTAAAGGCTTTATCTATAAATGTAGCGGTAGCGCTGTAGCGGCAAAACCACGTATCGCTACTTAAAAATGTAGCGGGCGCTACCGCTACAATTGCTTAAAAGTTGCGCCGCTACCGCTACATGTAGCGCGTTACTGCCCACCTGAGCCACCTCTGTGAATACGTGGTGGGGGTGGTGGTGGTGGTGGCGATGACTGGTTATAGGTTAGGTGCAAAGATGACCTCACTTCAGGCAACTGTCGCACCTGTTCATGGCAAAGGTTGATGAAGTTTCTGGATTATTTTTCTTCACTTTTACTTCCTACAGTTCTTGTACAACATCACTAACGAATACGTGTACAAAGTTTCATGGAGCTGCGTTCATTAGGTTGGGAGATATTTCTTGATCATTGACTTTGAAAATTGGCCGTGAGTCCGGCCGTATATCTGTCCGAGACGCGTTAGGGTTAAGGAAGAAATAGTAGCCTAAGCCAAACTGAGTATTAAAGTTTCAGTCATGTTATTATTAGGTAAAATTTGTTGTATAAATGTTCTGCTGGTTTGAATTGCATCGTTGTTGTAGCAACATTTTTTACCTAGGCGAACTTCAGTCATTTGAGTATATATCTTCTAAAACTATATATTTTTGTTGTGCGAGTAATTTTCATTTTTTTACCGTTTTTCTACAAACGAATTATTTTAAGATGACATACACCTACATGATAGAGCATTTAATACCTTAATATCATTGACAAATAATTTACCCGGTTTATTCAAGGTCCCAGAAGGATTACTAGAATTTGAAACAGGAACCAACACCGCGGCCCGCGGGCCACGGCTATAAACTAAAAAAAACTGTGTTGTGAAACATCCATGCGACAACATTTCTTCTCGCTTCGAGTCACCGACATGTGGAAAGGTCTCGGACAAATTTACGGTCGGACCGGCGGCCGGTCTTGCGGCTGAAAGGTTTTCTTAGTGTTTTTTATGAGTTTTTCTAGTTTTTTTGTGTTTTTTAATGGAACCTGTTCCTAACTGGACCTAACCTGCAAGGTTTTTGTTGATTGGCTAGGTTTTTTCTATGTTTTTAGTCCGGCGGCCGCGAGACTGGCTGCGGGTCCGGCCGTAAATTTGTCCGAGACGTCATGTGGAACAGCCTCCCTTATAGCGTCGTTGACGCTCCGAGTATGAACGCCTTCAAGAGGAAACTAGACAAAGCTATGCAGGACCATATGTTCAGTCATGAAATGCCTAGCACCTTACTGACCAGACAATAAGTCCGGCAGCTTTCTCCAACAATCGTCAGCTATGGAAAGATCGGGTTCAGAAGGCCCTAACCCTTGTGGAATCGAGGTAAGAAAAGTACAAGAATGAGCGACAGGCCATGGGCCTATTTCTTCAGTGCCGACAATTCTATTTTAACTAAATCAAATCTACAAGGGCCCTAGCATATTGCATTTAAAATATTAAAGAAGAAATGCAAATGTTATTTCAGTTGTATTGTCGAAGATTACGTCATGGTTGGCCAGTTGCTAGTTTTAAAGATCACAGATATTTAGCTTAAAATTTTCTGTTTTTGACCCTTCAGGCAGCTCAACGATCTCGGTACCTCGACAATCTCGGCATCTCGACGATTTCGAATTTCCACAGCTCGCTGCAGGTTTCAAACCCGAAACTGGCCGCTCTAATCTTGGTCATCATAACCCTCGTCCACACCGAGCTAAAATGAGTGCATTTTACGCTGTACGCGATTTCTTTGTTAATTGATATTCATCCCAAACCTACCAATGTCCAATTATGTTGGATAGTTTGGCTGTTTGGGATAGTATTATGTTGGATTAGTTTGGCTGAAGTTTTTCGTGCCTTCAAGTTCGATTGAAGTCCTTGTATGCATCGCGATAGATAGTTGAATCACATGAAGAATTAAGACAGTATCTCAGAAATTAATTTAAACTCACAATACAGATGCAAAAAATAGTTTTCATCAACTGTATCCGCTCGCACGGGCAGTGCTGCCAATTAATAAACTTGAGTTATTGTAACAACGCCATGTTACATTAAGTCCGTTACTTGGCGAGCAAAATTTGAAAAGCGTTGCGACTTAGTTGTACGCATTGTAATTTTTAATCAAAGTAGCGTTGCAGTGTAATTCATAACATGTTGTATCATTTTCTGTTTCCATCAGACCAGTGGTCGGCAAAGTGGTCGTCGATACCATGGTTTAATTAATATAGTATTAATTCAACCATGGTCGATACTGTCTCCATGACTGTCTCGACCATCGAGTGTTGCGAGTAGGCTTTAGTCGTGGACGGAAGTCTCATAATTAATAAAAATTTAATGTGGTCATTAAGATGTTTCAAAAGCTCCGATATAAGCAAAAAATTTCCGTCATTCACGCTATTCCCAATTTCTTTAATTATAATAACAATGTAACTTATGTGTACTAATAAAAAAATATAACTCAGTACTCACTGCAGTGAGTGACAGAGAGCGCATTTTCTCGTCAACGAAAACTTGAGGTCACGGACAGATGGACGGACAGACAGACAGACAGACAGACAGACAGACGGACACGGACATGGCGAGCACAATAGTGCATTTTTCCATAAATGAGAAAATGCGCTAAAAAGCCCATCCGAACCAACATTTTCCATGAACATCGAACTCCTATTTGTCTCTCGTTTAATGGATAATACTTTCTCGTACCCTAAAATTAAATTTATAATTATAAATAGAAAAACAAGTGGCAATTTTTGGCCCAATCTTTTCCTCTCCCAATGGCGGTTCCTTACTATTCTCTTATTAAGAACTAATTTTCAGGTCTAGAGGTAATATACCGACACGATAACTATTGTGGACATGCTCTGCAATAGCCTCATTAAAAATAAGGCACCAGGCTTCAAGCAGAAACATAATCACAAACAAACGTGATAATTTTTCATGTATTAGTTAATCTTTTCCTTATCGTTTGTTTGTGGGCATGAAGGTGGTCGATTTAAGTACCAATATCCTATGATAAGGTCGAAGGATAAACAAGGTTGCCGACCCCGACATTATCCGAAAAAAGCTCGTTTAGCCATTTGCTATGGGTGGTTACAGTTCAGAAAGTAGATTTTTTCTAAACTGTCAGCACATCGTCCGTCCCTTGAGAAATCGTTGAACATGCATTTTAGTTATGTTTGCTCCGTCCGGCCGATCAGCTGACCATTAATCAGCTGATTTGTACTGTGACTTGTATCATTCTGTCATTAGTTGCACTCCAAAGTCCAATCTATTGAATTTACAATATAGCAAAGTGTGCATAGTGGCTTGATTGCACTTAGTTAGTTATACTGAGAATATATATCTTTTAATTTAAACACCTTATGTGAGCTGCTATGCATGGTTGATATCTTAGTCTTTCTAAGCCTTGGGGATTGTTAAACTCTGACTTCTAGTTCTAGGTCAGAGTTTGTCAGGTCAGAGAAGCACTTTAAAAGTTTAATACCTATAGGTTTTATTTTGTAGTTTTCTTGTTTTATAAAATTTTGTGTAGAAAATCACTATTAGTTAAGATTATGAGATAATCTATTTGTTAAAATAATGAATTTCATAGAGTGATAGAGATAAGTGATTAAGTGTTAATTGTGAATTTTGAATACAATGATTATGATGAAAGTTGAATGTCAAACATGAATATGATGAATTTGATTGAATTTAAACCTTATTTAATTTTGCTATTTTAATGATTTTTCTAAATCAATTAACTCAAGAAAATTCACCTATTCCATGGCAGAAGAAAAAATATGCTAAATATATACTCAGTAGTATACAGTTTACTGATTGGTCTGAAAAATTAAATTAAGATTATTATGTAAATGTAAAGAGCATACCACTTCTGCATAGTGCTATATTAGTATATATACCGCCTACCGGTACATGACTACATGTCTGTTTGTAATGGAAAATCCATGCATTGGTCACTTTAATTTATGTTTTATGAAATGAACCAAGCTTGAAGATCAGAATGCTTGAGTCCTGTAGTCAGTGTAGTGATTTGCAAAACCAAATTGTCTCAAGAAGATTTCTTTATAATCTTTTAGCTTTGAAGGAAATGCAGCTAAAATGCCTCCTGATGAACAGTTGCACATTTCATGTCTACCTACAGAGGTGAGTTCCTGTTCAAAGCCATTCAAATCCTCTGGAATTGAATTCATTATGCTTGAAAATTTACGGATGAATAATAATTAATATCAACCCAATTTTCTCCTTAACTTAGTCTATTGTTGTACAATAATTTTCCTCCATATTCAATAATAGTTAAAAAATGCATGGTATGATGAAGTTTATGGTAATACAGTTGAAAGAGCTGAAAATTACCTATGGCTATTGAAACATGGTACAATAGCTGCTATGCTGGCTTTTTTGGTTACCCTCTGAGAGACATTTTGCTTTATTGATGGTAAATTATACTGAGACCTGGCCATTAAATTGCCAGCATAGTCTAATCATGTGACTGTGTACCATAATGCATTCTTTCATAGTTTATGTAATGATGATTGCCAAACTTGTATTTAGTACATTATTATTTATTTGAAATAGTCCGTTTCTTGTTTAGCATAAATCATTTTGTTGGAATTAATTTTTGAAATTATTAACACAATTTTTTTATGTCACTTTTGATGATAAATTAATATTTCTTAAATCCAATTATTTTTCATTAATTCAGAAAATTGTCCTTTGAACCTACTCCTGATGTTTTAATGCCTTATACATACTGACTGCCAGTATTATTTCCAGGTGTTGGAACAAATCTTTGAATGTTTGCTGGACAACTTGGATGATCTCTTAGCTGTCTCAACTGTATGTTCTTCTTGGTACTTGACTGCATCACGTTTCATTGGGTCTAGATCTCTCCTCTGCCTCCAGCATGACCTCATCCACAGGACCAAAACCCTCAACAAGTCTCATAGAGAACACAAACATTGGGCCATCCAGGTATATAATTTCTTAGGATTGTCTTTATGTTTTTTATTGGTACATTGTTTATTCTGCCATATATTGTATTGTTTATTCGAAGTGTACTAATCTGGAGACATTTAGATAATTCTTACAATAATTCTGTTTTAAGTAAAATGTGTAAAATTATTATAGTGAAATGCCATTCCGATATCATGTCTCTACCTAAGTGGTTAAGTTAATATTCAACCATTTCACAATCACCAGAGACAGACAGACTACTATCTATTTCATCAGTATGAGTAAACTTGATTTTTATTTGTTTGACATTTGAGTTGATTTAATGATTGGGGTTGCAGGACAGTGATATTCATGTGGATGGCAACTTCGGGGAGTTTTGGCAGTCAGTCTGTGAAGAAGTGGAGTCTCTTACCATAAATAACTGTTATCTCAGGGAGCCAGATTTTGTCTCTTTGTTGTCCAGCTGTAAAAACATCAAGGCTCTTAAACTTCAGCAACTTGAACATACTTTCATGACTGGTGAGAAATTTATATTTATTTGTACTGTCTAAATTTAATTTGATTTAATTTCGAATAGCTCCATATAGTGAGATTAAAATTACAAGGTTTTGTTGCATACAGTTATTCTCATGTTGTTTGCTCAAAATATCCAAAACTAATGTTTGGATTTACTCGAATTTTGGCAGACATGCAAACTCTTTTATTGTCCGCTGTACTATTCTGTATCCATTGATGCTTATATAATTGATAACTATGAGCGTAACTTATTTATTTTACTTGTGCAGTGAACCTCCTCCAGTCAGAGCTTGACCGCAAGAGAGTGAGGGAGGGACTGCAGGCTCTGGAGAGCTTGGAGGTGCGGTGTGAGCGCTACATTAGTGATAATTTACTACACCATCTCATGGCCGTGACGCCGCCTCTTACTTCTCTGTCACTAGCCACCTGCAATATATCCTACCAGGATGCAATTCGCAACAGGTGTGCTGTACCTCTGCTTACAATTGACGTTAAATTGTGTGTCTGACTGTTGGTGCTGTTTAACTTGACATTCACATGAAGATCTTGTGTAAATTTTATGGCTTTTTTTAAGTATTATTTTTAGTATTGATACTGCATTCCAATTTTCTATTTGCGCTGTCTTACAGATTTTATCCAGTCGGGGTCTCATCACCATCAGAGTTCGTATCAACCTTCGCTAAAGTCCTGGAATGGATTCAAGGAATGACGGCCACACTGAGAAAGCTCGACCTGTCAGGCACCCGCATAGACTCAGGCGCCATGGAACGCCTGATGCTCGTGCCACAGCTGCAGCTGCATACGCTTTCTCTTGCGAATTGTGATCAAGTCACTAACACTGCCGTGGGTGAGAGCATCTGCTTGTGCGCTGTCCATTGATGTGTGATCAAGTCACTAACACTGCCGTGGGTGAGAGCATCTGCTTGTGCGCTGTCCATTGATGTGTGATCAAGTCACTAACACTGCCGTGGGTGAGAGAATCTGCTTGTGCGCTGTCCATTGATGTGTGATCAAGTCACTAACACTGCCGTGGGTGAGAGCATCTGCTTGTGCACTGTCCATTGATATGTGATCAAGTCACTAACACTGCCGTGGGTGAGAGCATCTGCTAAGCACTATTCCATTTATTTGTGATGAAGACACTTACATTGCCGTGGGTGAGAGCATCTGCTTGTACACTATTCCATTGATTTATAGGCTTTTCACTTCACAGTTCTAATAGTGAGAATCTAATTAATGTCAAGAGAAGGAAAATATAATTATTGAACAATATTAATGGGCTTAGGTTAATGATTAGTCATCCATCAATGACTAATAGGCACCTTGAAATAATGTAAATAGTTCTAACTTATAAGAATGTTGAAACTGACTGCACAGAGCGGCTGTGCAGCGGCCAGCCGTGGCTGCGTCGTCTGGACCTGACGGGCTGCTACCGCGTCTCGGGCGTCGCTGTCGTCGCTCTGGCCGACAGCCTCCCCTGCCTGCAGTGGCTCAGCCTGCACGGCTGTGGCGCTGTTACTGCGGTCAGGCTCAGCAGTTTTAATTTTAAGTTTCAACTTTATTCATTGTATTATAACTTTTTAATAATTTAAATCCAGCTTGAATACTGCCTTGGCTTAGCCTGCTGGGTTGTGGCGCTGGCACTGCCGTCAGCCTCAGCCGCTTTAAAACTATTGTAACTATCTATATTCATTGTATTGTTATTTTTAGCGCATTTTCTCAATAATGGAAAAAATGCACTATTGTGCTCGCCATGTCCGTCTGTCCGTCCGTGACCACGTTTTCGTCGACGAGAAAATGCGCTCTCTGTCACTCACTGCAGTGAGTACTGAGTTATATTTTTTTTAATAATTCTAAATCCAGCCGCCTAAATCCAGCCGCAATAAATTTGGGGTGGGCTGACAATTCAATTTCAAATGCTTTCTCTTGATGAAAATATCTTCCCGTTTTACTATCTTTATTGATGGGAAAATTGTCCATCCATAATTTATCCTTGAAAGTGTGTAGCTTTTTATATTGTAAAAGTAGTTTGTGGCCTCATTTTATTTTTTCCCAATATTTTGACTGTGTGATCTACTTTCCAATGTAGTTAATCAGAATTTATTAGTCAGCCTGGAGTATTTTCATCTTGCTGTTTTTATATCCTCGAAATGAAATAATAATCCTTAGATAAAAGTAAAATTTTTGCTCCCAGTACGATATCAATGGCTTTCATTTTATTCTTCTCAATGCGACGCCACGAATCGAAACACAAATATTTTGAATAGTATATCATTGCCACTCCGCCTAGAAATAAGGCCTAACGAGTGTGCTCTCTCCAGGAACAAAGCGATTTTTAGAAGATGATACCATTACTTTAGATAAGGAATGAGCTACAATAAACGCTGAACACTGATGTCTGTAACATATAAGTTAAATACAACATCTATAACACATATGTTAAATACAACATCTATAACACATATGTTACACATATCATATGTGTGTCATGGGTTATATGTGTCACAGGAGAGTGTGTCACGCTTGGTACAGTCACATGAGCTGCATCACCTGGACGTGGGCGCCACTGACAGCAGCAGCTCGTGTGCCGTGCAGCACAAAATGCACAGGTGATCACTTCTTCTCTTCGCGATCTGAAATAAATTAGAACATCTGAACAACTTCCTCAGCCCAGTTTAGGCCAATATTCGGGGAGGAATGCTATTTTGACTTATACATTGTCAAGCTTAGGTTACTCGCAAAGACTTATGCAACTTTTTGTCGAATTAATGCATTCCTCAGTGAAAGCATTTATGGGGCTTATTGCATCTTTTTTTCATGAGGGATTATTTCTGTATCATCACAGCCTGCTGGTTTAATAACTTTTATTCATCTATTTTCCTAAGTTGTTGAGTAATTGAAGTGGACATGTAACAATTTATTGTATTTCTCTACGTAACGCGTGGTTCATGTCCGCTAATGTCTGCAGATTCCAGCCCAAGCTGCGCTACCTGAGCCTCGCTGGCGTGAGTCTGGACGCGCCTCAGGTGGTCTTGGTGGCGGCAGGGGCGCCTAACCTCACCCACCTCGACCTCAGCATGTCTGCACACTCCTTGAAGAACGTCACGCTGCAGGTAACGTCTGAGTCACAACACTCCTTGAAGAACGTCACGCTGCAGGTAACGTCTGAGTCACACACTCCTTGAAGAACGTCACGCTGCAGGTAACGTGGCGTTCTGCTAACGTCATACCGACATTTTGTTCACTTCGAAGGTTTTTTTCTTCTTTTCAACTGAAATAACTTAGTTTCATGTGGGAAGGAAGCCTTGGGATCATCAGGCAGCAAAGAAAACCAGCCTTGTAGTCTACCATCTAACTGGTAGTCTAATTAAACTTGACCACTTTTCCAGCCTTTGTCAACTTCAAAACCGTATTTAGATGTAAAGATAAATAACCTGCAATTGATATTCTGTTAAAAACATGGTATATTTTGAACTTTGATGTTCAGCATACAGAATGACAAGCAATGTCCAGCCCAGTTTTTGAAAAATTAAATATAAATGTAATCTAAGTACAATTGTTCAGTTTTTCCTCGAATTGTGATGCATAAATATTTGTCTGCAGTGTCTAGTGATTATCAAGTACGGTTCTTTTGACATTCATTCTATAATTTCAGAAAATTGAGGTTCTCTTAAGTACAAAAGTTAAATATTTCACACGCACAATTTTCATAGTAAAAATAACTTCACATTAGTTTATGATTTGAACCAAATATTTAAAAATGCTGTGAGTGAAACGTTGTTTTTCCTATTGTTTTGAGCCTTCTCCAATCTGAAGGCGTTGCTTGAAAGCGTGTGTACAGATGTTGAGTGGGCTGGTGCTGCAGCTGCGTGTGACTATGAAGCGTGTGTACAGATGTTGAGTGGGCTGGTGCTGCAGCTGCGTGTGACTATGAAGCGTGTGTACAGATGTTGAGTGGGCTGGTGCTGCAGCTGAAGCGTGTGTACAGATGTTGAGTGGGCTGGTGCTGCAGCTGCGTGTTACTGTGAAGCGTGTGTACAGATGCTGAGTGGGCTGGTGCTGCAGCTGCGTGCGACTATGAAGCGTGTGTACAGATGCTGAGTGGGCTGGTGCTGCAGCTGCGTGTACTGCTGCTGTCCACGTGCTGTCTGCTGACGGACGCAGGGTTCATGGGTGAATGTTACCGCGACGCGTCGCTCTCGCACCACCCCGCAGCCTGCGACGACTGCAAGGCTTCCGTCGCGCCTAAAAAGTGAGGCCAAATACTGGGGGTTATTCTCGCGATAAGTCAATCATTGACATGGATCATTATAATTATGATGATTATCGTTACTGTGATAACCAATAGAATTAATAATGCAAACTTTCATGATCCCAAACAATTGTAAATGAAATTTATCGTGTAATGCCTAGTTTTATAGCCTATGGTTTTTATTTTGTTGCTCTGAAAGCAGCTTGGGGCTTTTGGTGTTGTAGTTTATAGAGAAACAGTTTAAATAAAGAAAGCTCCTTCATCTAAATTGAACGATCGCTCAACCAAAACTAGATATTAGGATTTGCGTGTTTTTGAACACGATACAAAGTGTGGACTTCATGTGAAAAATTTTATTACACATTCCCGGATCAACAAAAGCTTATGTTGAGGTAATGAACTGATCCACGTCAGGACCTTGTCTGGGGTGAACCTGACGACGTCGCCTCGTCGCGTGCAGCTCTACAGCCGCCGCGTGACGTGCAGCGGCCACCGCGCCTGCCGCTGCTTCTACGACTACGACTCCTGGACGAGTCTTGTTGGTGAGCACGTCGCTCTTATCTTCGTCGCTCTTATCTTCGTCGCTCTTATCTTCGTCGCTCTTATCTTCGTCGCTCTTATCTCCGTCGCTCTTATCTTCGTCGTGTTGAAGCACGTTGTGTTGTCGTAATTGCCCATCCTGGTAGTGGCGACTAAGGAGGGGAGTGATAAGTCAGTTTTTCCGGGCACTCGGTGCCACAGGTAATTCCACGACCATCACTGGCTCGCTGACCCGCCATAACCATTTTGATTGCATTACACAACACCCTGGACAAGCCAGGTACTCATTTATCAACCAGAGTTGGATGAATGGCTGAGTTGACCATGAGCTGAGCTTCCCGGAAGAATTTGTAATCAATGGGACTCGAACCCGGGCGCTGGGTGCGAGAGACAGAGAACCCGGGAGCTGGGTGCGAGAGAAGCCTTTGAAACACGTCGCACCACCACAGCCTTTGAAGCACGTCGCTCTTACATCTTCCGTTCAGTTAGCCCGCCACTGCTGTAAGATCGACAGTTTGGTCACGCAGTTTGGTCACGCTGTTTGGTCACGCTGTTTGGTCACGCTGTTTGGTCACGCTGTTTGGTCACGCAGGGCCAGCAAGTTTTATTGTGGGGGCGGGAGGGCCAGCAAGTTTTATTGTGAGTGCGGGAGGGCCAGCAAGTTTTATTGTGGCAGTTGTTTACAGACAGCCTGTCTCGTGTGGACGCGGAGGTCTCTGAAGAACTCCAAGAGGCCAACGAAGCGGGAGAGTCTCAGCAAGTCAACGGTGTTGAGCAGCAGGAATCTTTAGTTGACTACAAAGCTCCTTTGTCTCTTCGACGTCCCGCCAGCATTGCTAACCTACGAGGTATTCCTTCCTTGAAATACTGTCATGTTAGACACAAATTGAAATTCATTCTCAAACCTATTCATTTTTTATTAGTTTGTTCGTTTTTTACGAGATGATTGATTAAAAATTTGGTTATTCAAATCCGATAAGTATAAAAATGAAAAATTTCCATTGTAGAGCTTTTATAGTCACATATTTTTTTATTTCTCATGTATGTTGTTCTATTTTCCTGGCTGTTGTGTTATTTTAGTCCGCAGTCAAACTCCAGCCTTCATGCATTATTGAGAGGTTTATAGTACGTATGTTTTGCCTGCATCTACAGGCCTACGTAGACTGAGTCTGTGCGGAGTGTTCAAGCTCACCGACCACTGCCTCGTGACGGCCTTCCACTTCCCCGAGCTACAGCACCTCAACCTCGCCCAGTGCGGCCAGGTGCGAGAAATCCTCCATTCATGGCAATACAAATTTTATTTAAAGTAGGGAAATTTTCTCATGACCTTGAATAAATTTTGAACAGCAAACAACTGATTCATTGAAAACTTCTCTTAAGAATGGAATAATTTTTCATATTTCTTAAGCATAGTTTTTGTTGTGTCAGATATCGAGCGTCGGTCTCGGTGCCATGGCCAGCCGCTGCCGCGCCCTGAAGGAGCTGCTGCTCTCTCGGTGTGACTCTGTCGATGACATCGCCGTGCAGGCCGTCGTGCACCATCTGCACCGCCTGCAGCGCCTGCACCTGCAGGTAGGTGCCATGCAGGCCATCGTGCAACATCTGCACCACCTGCAGCGCCTGCACCTGCAGGTAGGTGCCGTGCAGGCCGTCGTGCACCATCTGCACCGCCTGCAGCGCCTGCACCTGCAGGTAGGTGCCGTGCAGGCCGTCGTGCACCATCTGCCCCGCCTGCAGGTTTTCGCCAGAGTCCCGTTGAGGCGTTAAGAGCGCATCCGCCCTCAGTTGGACAAGCTGATGCAAGCTGCCGTCGCTTGGTTTTTGCTGACTGTAGAAGGCAGTGATTGACGATCAGCAATTTGGCTCAGAAATGCCTCGTTTATAGAGTTCGTATCATCCCGATAATTATTTTTACGTACAAAGGAAGATGAAGGTAGATGACGTGCTCCCTTCTCTGTGATAAGGAATGTTTCAGGTGTCTCAGCCTTCGCCTATAGTTCAGCTCCTGCAGACTGCTTTTCTTTTACGTTTTGCTGGACTTACTCCAATCGTCGTCAAGCACTTTCAGTTATTGAGCCCACAGATGGCAGCAGTACTCCAGGAAGAGTCAACAAGAACCTTATATAGAATTCGAAGGTAACTTTCAAATTTTTGTAAACGCTAGATCCGCCATATGTTCCGCCTGCCTCTTGCAGTTACTGCTGTTATGTGATCGCTAAACGAGGCCACGATAATCATCATGATTATTCGATGGCACGCTCGAGTGGCACTCAATCTTACTTCACTTTCGCGGCAAGAATTTCATCTCATAGCCTGTAATAGATATCGCCATGTCTTCTTGGAACTCGGCCTTCTCCTAGATACTTTGTAGGGATCATTCATTAGGACGTCCCAGAGTAGTTTACTTTGGTAATAATTAAACTGTGATAGTCCATCTCGTGGTTTGGACTCAGACTGGCCTCCCATCCAACAGCCCACTCAATCTATCGTGGGTCTGATAGCCTGGTTACTTCAGTCCGAAATTCATCACCTAGCTCCTCATTTGCTAGTGAAACAAGATACTATATGTAATGTTCCCATGTGTACATCCGCATTTCTAGACTAAACAAATGAGGCGATAAAGTGAACTGCTTTATTGAAGTTCATAAGCTTTCAGGATCCGAGCAAAAAACGAAAGGACGTATTTACAAGAATATCTTCAATAATTATCGAACAATCTTACTTCTAAGATTGAAAATATTTTCAAATATTCTATAGTATTTGTAGGTATTGAGCAATTTAAGTGAAGTAACAATGAATAAATCTGATTGTAAAATGAAACGAAGAGAATCCAGAGTACGGTATACGTGAATTTCGCCAAACCGTCAAAGAATCTAGACTGTGTCAAATGTGAAAAATCTTGAAATTTTTAGTAGTATTAGCGGAAGCCACTCTGGTTAAATCCTAATTTCTGATTTTATGTCAAGACGGAATTAGTTGTCAGAGATAAGTTTCAACACTTTTTGAGATTCTGAACCTGCAAGGTTAGTACCATGCACTAGTTGCTCTGCCATGTTTTTGTTGCCCTTCAGGTTAGTCAACTATTCTTAGATTTTGTATAAATGCATATTCTACTTTTCAAGTTATTTTCCCGAAATTCACTGTGAAACAAACGTTATTTTTTAGCTTTGTTTTCACTTTTAAAAACAAATATGAAGATAGTATGAGTTGTTGGGTTTCACAAGTTGTTGGATGTGTTGCAGCACTGCACGCTACTCACGTCAGACTCGCTAGACTCGCTGCACTGGCGAGCGTCGCTGCGCTACCTCGACATCTCGCAGTGCACGTGAGCCTTATTAACTCTACATTTCATATACGTAATGGAGGAGTATTTAAATTAGAACTTTGTTGTGATATATGCGAGAGTAATTAAATTAGAGTTTTATTGTAAAATTATCATGGCGTGAATATTGTTCGCTTCGTTTGGAGTACAAAGCGTTAAAATTTAATCCAATTCTATAAAGAAAATTGGATCCAATCATTATATAGTAAATTATAACTATGTTGTACGATGGGCTATATGTCGGAATAAACTCGGATGACAATGTCGTAGATATTTAATAAAGATTTCACATCTGAGAGTTACTTAGTCTAATGGGCATTATGACTCTTTAATTTACTTAACTCATTACATAATTACCATACTTTTTATCAACGTTACTTTATCATCATTAACACAGACTCACATTATTTACCTTGTCTTGCAGTGGCATGACCCAGTCTTCCGTGGACGAGTTTTCTCTGCAGTGTCCTAACGTGAAGGTTATTACACTCAACACAAAATACATGCAGTCCATCGCTCATCCACTAATTCCAGCCCGCACTGCTTCCCCCATCTCGGAACAGTTCTCAACCCCGCAAGTGTCTCCACCCCCGCCCCAACCTCCTCCTCTTCCTCTTATGGCTAAAGTAAAGAATGTTATATTCAGACCTTGGATGCGATAACCTTTTAGTCTTTAGTCTAAATTAATTCAAGTGCCAGTTTATTATTAACTTACGATAACCAATAAACGAATATTTAAAATATTGTTACGATAACCCTAGGATATGATGTTTGTCATTGAACCTGTTCGACCGGTTTTTCATACCGCGCTTTTTCTTTTAAAAACCTTCTTGTTCTATTTCCTTTGTGTCTATGAATATTTATTTCTTTCTCTTGCAAGATGATGTGTTCATTGATTATGCCTTGAAATTTTCCAGCAACTAATTGTTGCTTTTGTGGTCAATAATGAGAAGTCATCGTAATGCACTAGCTATATTCGCAATTATCCTGTCCCTCTTAGGGACTTGAATGTGGGTACTAAATGTATAACCTATTTAACGAAGGATAATGTGCCTAGGTAATGTGAAATATTCAACCATCTCGTGAGACTGTTGAAAATGGTGATAAATTTTATTATTTTAAAAATAATTTATTTATGTGTGAAGGTGTCAGTAATTGTTGCTAGATAATTTGAAAAGGCGAACGTGTCACAATATATTGTGCTGTGTTGATATAGTTAACACAATATTAACACAGCCTCCTTTCTTTTCGTGTCCTCATTGCAAATTAATGCCATGGATCTGTTTACAGAAGTTCAGTTCTGTATCACCTGCAACGTGGATAGTTTAAATTACTTCGTAATATGTGATTAATTCTAGTCGTCTGGGGTGCAAGCAGCACGCTACAACCTCGTGTGTAGTAATGATAACAGGCCATCATTCATGGACGGATTTTTTAAATCTCTGCTATCTTGCGTGTGCCACGATGCCATAACCAAGCATTAAAATGGATTATTTTACAGTTAAATCTGTCTCCAATTATGCAATCAGTGATTTAAAAACGCTTTCAAACAATAGAACATTGAAAGTGTTGTGCCAATTCACTCGTTTATCAACCAAGGCCAATTAGAGCGCTACAACACCATTGGCAGCAGCTTGGTCGGCAGCAGCTCGACCAGCCGAATTATTAAAAAAGTTTTTATTAAATGAAGAATTTGGTTGAAATGAATTGAAATGAAAAAACTATAACATTTATTTGTGGCAAAGATTATACCATCTGTTGAGAAGAATCTCGATTTAAACCTTATAAAGTTTGTCGTTAACTTTCGATTTATTTATTTTTTAAAAGTAAGGGCTGTTTTGACACACATCTGAATCAATTATAGTTCATTCTGCAAGCCTTAGTTCTTGTTTTATTATATGTTGGAACTTGGATTTACCTGTGCTTTAAATAATAACGTAGAGCAAATAATGCATCAAACTTCTTTTCCTTTCCAAATGTATTCCTAGAAAATCATCTTCGACATTTTCTAAGTTCGTTGACTTTATTGCGTTTTTAGGATAAAGCAAACAATTAATGGACTCTGCACATTTTAATCGAAAAGACGGCCAACTAGTAATAGTGGTGTCAGCGTTAACAAGGCCAAATCTTTTAGCAAGCTGGGGTTTCGAACCCGCATGGCACTGATCTAATCTTGCTACTCAGAAATGTTACGCCTTTCCTGACGGTAAAAATCTTACGTGCGGAGTAAACAGAGGATTAGGTTAGGTAATGCTTGTCAAGTCATGAACGTGTGAGCGGGAGGAAGATGCAAGATCGTTATCTGATATAATCAGTAGAGATTTGGATCATACTTTCCCTAAAAAGATCGATTTAATCGTTATGAATGGTCACATTACTTTATATTGGCCTAAGAAATGGAATTATTGTTGTACATTCTGAAGTGGATCAACATGATTGTTCACAGTAGACTAATAACAAACGTCAGAAGTTTATTAATGACTTACTACTAGATAACTAGAATTATAGATAGAATTACAGGAAAAATATCTAAAAGAATAGGAATGAAATTAACAACGACAATAAACTTGCATTTATCGGAAAAGATTCAATTTCATTATTACTATAGTAAAATTAACTTAATAGTATACATACTAGCTCTTTAGTCGAGACGAATCTTAAAGTCGAGAATAGCTCGTTGTATTATTAATAAGTCTGTGCTGTATCTACAAGCGTGTTAACACGGATGTTTTATAAATGCAGAAATAACCCTTGTGCACACTCACCGCAGCCATGAGATTTTAACTAAATTTGAAACCTTTTGACTCTGCGTCATAGATTTAAAATTGATAGTGCTTCAAAAATAATCATTTAAATAATTTTAAGCTCAATCTCCTCAATTTGGTGCGGTACGTGAAGTTCTCGACAGCGAGCAAGACGCTAGCAATGGTGACGCCGACCGCGAGCAGCACAAAAGCGGTGTAGGTCTCGGCGAGTCCCAGCGCGTGTAGCAGCTCGGACTCGCAGGCTCGGCCACCGCCGTGCCAGCGCGCCAGCAGCTTCTGCAGCACTCCGCTCTCCGACATCTTCAGTAACCTGGACAATACTGGTAAATTATGGCTTGAATTTGACGCTTATATCATAATCTATGAAAAATATTCATTGATGTAGACAAAAATATCATTTAGTAGTTCCTACCATGAATTTTACTTATGAAACGTAAATGTTCAAACAAATGCTGCAGGGTTCACAAAATTCAAAGCAAAAATTGTACTGATATATAATTTTATTATGTTTTCTTGAATTATCAGTATTAAAACGACCAAGAATGCACTATACATAATTAGTTTGCACAGTCTGTCGAGATAGGCTTCATTTAATATATACTAATTTTCTTATTATTTTGATCCGCATATATGATGATACAATATATGATTTCATAGGTAGGTTGAATAGTTAAATATTAAAAAGAGATTAAAAAGTAAAAGATAGATTAAAACATAAAATTATTAAAGACATTTTTGTGTAATCGTAATACATAGAAAATTGCTCAAAAAAGACCAGTTTGAGAAAAAAATTAAATTGTCTCTGGCTATTATAGGGGTTATTCCGTAAAATAAATAATAACGATAGTGTTTTTAGATATTGATCTCACTCGAAGTTGATGATGGGGTTGGCGGGATGATTTCGACGCATAGGAAACGAAATTGAAGCCGTGATCACTTTCTCAGGAAGGACGGTCAGTCGGCAGTCCTGTTGAGATCACTCATTGAGACAGCCAGCGCTGAATGCAAACATTTCATAACAAAATTTTCTGAAGGGATTTATTTTAAATTTAACAGAAAATATACTCTATATTTTATACTCTATATACTTTATCTACACTCTATCTAAATATACTCTATCTACAGAAAATATACCCTCAGGGAACAAAATATGGACGATTTTTTAGGAATGCTTTTGACTTTCAATACAAAGAAACAATGATAATGACAAATACATTTAAGTGACTGTAAGACCTTAAAATAGTCCTGAGGAACCGATTCTATAATGAAATAAAACTTTAAATATTTCGATCCAATGAAGCTGGTCATCCTAACTCAGACAAATTTAGTCCGTTAAATATGGCTTATGAACAGTAAACTGTGATTATTCCTCAATCAAATTTTTACCCACTCGTAAAAATCTTCTGGCAATAAATACCGGCTTTGAATTTAGTTTATTACTCATTACAATTATCTTACTATATACGAACTGCCGATTATCGTGAAAATGTAGTCATTATACTTAATTCAAGTACTAATGGAATTTTTGCCTAGCAATTGCATGGTTTCGGATTCCCGTAGCAATTGTCATGTCGAAGAAATGCAGCAAAATTGTACTTTTATATGAAGCAGCGCCACAAAGAAACTTTTGACCATTCTAACCTGATTTATTTATTGATGCACTTACTGCAAAATTGTCAATGTAATAATGATAGTCCATGATTGCAAGATGTTTACTGTCCTCAAGACATCGTTCGACGTTGGCCTTCTCGCTAGCGATGTTCCGAGGATCTTTCGAGATCACTTCCCTCCACAGATCTCGTAAGAGAACGTCGTTATCCCCAGCGAACTGTTCCAGAATTTAAATTAAATCATTAAATTAATCAATTAAATATCATTGGTTTTCATTAAACTATGCCCATACATTAAGCACCTGATCATAAACGACGAACACATAGCCAAACAATTGTGATTCGGGGATGAAGTAAAAGCTTTCGCGTGTTGACAGACCATTAAAATGCAGTTCGTGTCAAGTATATTCAACACATAATATTTACTATCGTTACACGAATAGTAAACGAGTCTCTCCATTAAGGACTTTGAAACAAAACGGAAATAGCTAAATTTTTAAACAAGAGATAACGAACACTACCTTGAAGAGATCCACTGCAAAAGTGTCTCCGACGAGTCCCAGCGAGTATTCGCTTCTTCTGTCATAAATATCTTGTAAAGTTTTAATGGGAAGTTCGTTTGTCTCCGATAAAAGTATGGCAGTGAGGTTAGAAGAGTAGGCCACGTTCAGAAGCAAACAAGCGAGGAGTGCAGTCAGCAGCCATATCCTGTGTGATATGCGCTCAGACTTGTTGCCATCATAACCTGTTATGTGATATTTAAGCTTGAGTTTGAATCTAATTCCATATTTTATAAATGGAGCCTGCAATTGTTATCCGTTTTTTTAGTTTAGTTTTAGCAGGAAAATGTATTGCATTATAGGCATTTTTTCTGATTATCGGTACCTTTTTTTGAGCATCGCATTAATTATCAGCACAACGAAAATTATCAGAAACAATCAAGTTCTTTTAGCTATTATATAGCATAGATGTCTAACGCCACGCATCAATAATTTCTAAGCATCAATAATAACTTCGTTAGAAATTTTGGTCATGAAAAAATTGACTAGTCGACTTCAAAGTCATTTTGCTAAGTCAATGATCTCTTGCATCTAGGAATAAATCTCGTGGTCAACACCGATTTCGTGTCATATGTGTTCTTTTATTAATTTTTTATAAAATACTCCATACGCTTACCCATGACACAAAACATTTGGATGTTATCGATAAAGCAATCGCTCCAAGCACGGTAAGAGTGCATGCATTTGCTAAATATCTTCATGGTTAGCATCAATGTAACGAGAAGCCCGAGAACGGCCAGCCAGCTCGCTGGGGTGAACTCTCGCGTGAAGTTGGAGCTCGAGGAGAATGACGCTGGCTTCTGGACGATCACCGACTCCCTGCGAAGAGTTATGAATGTAGTATTTATTATAATTTCACTATTAGAAAATAATATGTAGTTCTGTAGGCGGCAGTAGTATAATTAAATTTGTACACTATAAATTCTATATCAATTATATAAAGAAACAAATGTTACCCCTTGTCTTGCAGAAGATGATCTTTGATTTCGAATTCAGCAATCGAAGAAGCATATGATGAATTTCAGAACAATTACCTTATAAAATTGCTGTAATTGTTCCATAGAAAACGAAGCAAATGTTCATCAACTATAATGGTTTAAACCCGAAGGAATACAACAGGGACAGCGATCATAACGATCACGTACCAGCTGGAGTAAAGAGCGACCGAAAACTCGAAGTAGCGCCCGCGTATCTCGTTGACGAGGTACGGGGCGACAGCGATGTCGCTGTCGCCGCGCTGGATCTGACCGAGAATGCCATCCCAGCGGTCGGTGCTTGCGTCCAAGCTGCCCCAGAGGCGGTCGTCTGGATTACGACATTCTGATCTGGAAATTTCATGTAATTTCTTCATGTAATGGTTGTTTGCAGCAAAAATATTGACAGAAGTACATAATTGAACCTTCAACGTTAAGCCACATCGGCAGGAATCTAATCAACTTAAGTAATTCTGCTCCAAAATAGTTAACTCGATCGCTGCTATAGTAACTTCTGGCTCCTGCTAGCTGTTATAGTAACTCGCAGGGTCCCGCTCACATTTATTGTAACTTGCTAGGTTTCGCTCACTTTTATAGTAACTCGCTGGGTCCTGCTCGCTGTTATTGTAACTTGCTAGGTCCCGCTTACTGTTATAGTAACTCGCTGGGTCCCGCTCGTTGTCATTGTAACTTGCTAGGTTCCGCTCACTGTTATAGTAACTCGCTGGGTCCCGCTCACATTTATTGTAACTTGATAGGTTTCGCTCACTTTTATAGTAACTCGCTGGGTCCTGCTCGCTGTTATTGTAACTTGCTAGGTCCCGCTCACTGTTATAGTAACTCGCTGGGTCCCGCTCGCTGTTATGTAATAACTACGAAAGTCCTCATTGAGTCCATGGATTGTTAACAGAGTGAACGAGAGCATTAGAGCTCTAATATTCTATGCAATTGTACTATCAAAATTGAAACTAATATGCAAAAGCTGAAAATGAAGCTAAAACTATTACAGTTCTTGCTGAATAGTATTTAGTAATTTAGTACGCCATCTTGAAGAAATTACGACTTAAATATTATAACTCCTGCAATAATACATATATGGCCCTATTTACAGCACTGTACTTGAAGGAAAGTTGTTGTTCGAGGCTGCTCCACACGTCTCCAGCAAAACCCGACACTGTCACTGTTCCGTCTGGCAACGGTGACGTCATGGAGAACGGAGGATACTGAAACAGGAGAACGGAGGATACTGAAACAGGAGAACGGAGGATACTGAAACAGGAGAACGAAGGATACTGAAACAGGAGAAGGGAGGATACTGAAACAGGAGAACGGAGGAGACTGAAACAGGAGAACGAATGATACTGAAACTGCATGCTCAATGCAGTGTTTAAAAAGCTTTTCGTGATCGAGGATTCTCTGTATATTGTAGACAGAGAATCCACGTAGACGTACGTGTGTCATTCGTAGACAAGGCAGACTCACCATGCATACGCAATTGACACAATATTACAAATGTGACGCTTAAATGTAGCATTTGATAAGTCATATTCACTTTCATACTCGAGAGTATAGAAATGAAAACAGAACGAAGAACTGAACTGACGTCTTCAGACAAGCATCGCATGACGAGTCCCGTGAGGTTGGTACGCCTGTACCAAGGCTCCCTGCGTAACACGCTGAGCTGCTGCTGTAGAGGCGGTACAGATACGGCACTCAGGCGCTGGTACACTGCAGGTACCGCAGCACTCGCTCGGTACGCCTCCCAGGCTGACAACCCTACCTCTTCTGGTACAAGAATCAGTGCCTGCCAATAAAACAATTTAAGATTAATTTTAATTGGGTTAAAATTATTGTGTTGAAGAAACCCTCACGGTGAAAGATTATGTAAGTGTAAGCGATCGAATAAATAGTTTGGACCACGAAATGTTACAAAACAAGCTTTATAAAAACTTTATACATTCTAAGTATATTCAATTCAATTCTAATACATACTATTCTAATACATTCTAAATACATTCTAGATATCATTGGTACTACCTCGCTGCCTGACTAACTCGTATCTAACCGGATAAAAGTGCGTCGTCTCTTTTCTTAAATAGTAGCATAAGCTAAATTATTGGCACATCAGATTACAGACTTGAATTATAGACAGAATTAATGCTGTTTTGGTGAGTAAATAGGTAGCACGAGCTCATAATTTCCCCTCAGAGGACATTCCCCCGAGCAGGCGAGGGGAGCTGACTCTGTTATTGAGAGGCCAGGGGAGAGAGGAAACGGCGCTCAGGAGGTCGTCGCTGCACACCACCAGACGCAGGGCGGTCCAGTCCCGCTCAGTCTGACAAACAACAAACTTTGTTATTGATTTCCCTTGATGAATGCTACAAGTCAACCAGTGAATATCAAAGATATCAGCATTAATATCATGAGATATTGAACTAGCAGGGCAGTCCAGTCCCGCTCAGCCTGACAAACAACAAACTTTTTTTTGCTAATCCTTGTTGAATGTCGACCAGTAAATATCAAAGCAATCGGCATTAACATGTATGAGATATTGAACTTAGTCCCGCTGAGCTGAGCCCGTACAATGGCAAACAAGAGTCTTGTTATTGGCCTTCCCTGCTGAGTCCTACCAGTAGATAAGTAAATATCTTGGATAAAAGTATTGACGTACTTAAGATATTGAACACAATCCTGAAGTAAGTATGGATGAAGTTGTTACTAACGAATCTCTTGTTTGCCACTCAGCCCTTAGGAGCGCACGACAGCACAATTAATTCACTGCTTCACGGACACGGGATCAATGTAATTTTAATATATATATATTATATAGTGTGTACAGAAAGTATGAAAACTGCCATTGGTCATCAGCAAACAAAGTGAATTGATTAGAACGCGTTCTTTTTACGTAAGTCTGATCAGTTGTTTTTCGGAGCCAGTATCACGTAATATATACAAAATAAATCACAAAATTTCTTCCTATATCATTATCTAATGCTGTTTGCTGCACGAATGAACAGAATTGAATTAATATTAACGTCCGTAAAAGACTTTCAAGGTTATAATGTTTCATTTAATTAATGAATATGAATAATTGTTCTTCACTGTGCCCCAGACATCAGACCTAAGAACGCACGACCTACTAATTCAGGTATTGAAGGACAAAATTAATTAAATTAACTAACTTCCGACAATAAAAATAAAAAAGATTAAACGTCAAATGCAAAATATAAACGCTATGTTCTCTCAGCCTCAGTCACATATCCATACTTCGTACTAGAATAGAATGAAAATTATACAAGTGGTACACACTCTGAGGCACGGAAAATTTTTTCATTCCAAAAGTTATTAACTTGATTTGATTACTCACGTCTTTGTAAGCTTGTAATTCGTTCTTCGATGAGATAACTGAGATGAATAGCTTCCGTGGATAGCTCTTGGCACTAAGTAGGAGCGGAGAGAACATTAGCATTAATATATTGTAGTAACTCATGCACTCTGAAGGATTGACAGTACTCTGATAATTTTAAAATGGCTAAAACAACGTTATTAAAATTTGGCACAACTTTTTATTGCTGGTACTGCTTTAAACACAAAATCCAATCCTTTTGTTAAATCACATCAATGATCTTCATTTTATTCAGCTGATTTTAAAGCTATGTTTTAGAAGACGCAAAAACAATGCTGGTAGCATAAGTAATGTAGGAGGGCCCAATCCCCGATTTAAGAAAAACATTTATTAATCGTAAGAAAACATTTGGATGTTTATCTGAGTTAGAGCGTTAGCTAATTGATTCATTATGCTAAAACAATTTCCTTCCTGTAGAAGCAGCAATTTATTATGCCTGCAGTAACGACGAATCATCATTAAGTGACAATTCTATCAGTAGAGAAAAAAAACTTTATGAGGGTTGCATATCTAATTATTATGCTTGCAGCGAATTCGCTTAGTTCGAAAAAGATTATTTAAATGCAAGATATTCTTAGTGGTGTAAATAATTTCATTGGATTTGGTTGAGTTGCAGGAGATAATTTTGCCAAATTCATAAATTTATGAACCAAATTTCATTATTCCTTGCACATGGGTTTTAAATCAATGTTTCGTATATATTCTTGATATTTACAATATTATGTACATTTTCCTAAGTTTTATATCTACTGTACTTGTTACATAGTAGTATGCCTTATATGTACTGAATGAATGCAAGGTTTACTCACTTGTGCGAGTGCTCTTTCTTACGTTCGAGGCTGAGCACTCCTTGTTTAGCTATTAGGAGCTGCAGTTTGCGGGATAGATCGGCCAGCTCAAGGTTCCCGCGCCCTGGATGACGGAAACATTTCTTGTTGGTGAGATTGAACTCAACGGAATTCGTTGAAAGTGCATTTATGATTATTTAGTTTGAGTTTCACCAGATTATTTAAACAGGAATTGGAAATATGGGCTTGAGTGAAGTCAGATCTACATACATCACTGCTTTTGCACTAGGCGCCTTGACAATTAACTTAAATATTGGGAGTAGTTTCCGTGGACTAGAATTTGTGAATTTATGCAGCTGGCCTCCCTACGTTCCAAGAAGTTAAATGAAAGCTTCGTGCTTCAGTCATGTTAAAGCTATAATTAATATCAAAACATATATCTCTTCTAAATT